AACGAATAAACATATCCGTAAGATATGGCCGAACATTTTAGAGGCTACAAGTAATTCCATTGGTTATACATCTTCCTAGATCTTCAGGTACATGTTTCTCTTGGGTAAATAGAATATATCTGCTCAGCGAATCGATCCTATTCCTATCCAATGATGCTATTTGGACGCTTTGTTTATGTAGGGAACGTTAGTAACAAAGGGAGTCCCAATGGTATACATCATCCGTGCTTACTCAATGATCAGAGCGTTTTCGTGAAGCACCGAAAATCTCATTGAATAGACGCGCAAAAAACGTAACTGGAGAGTAAACGACGTTTAATTAACCTAAAGAAAATACAATATGCTTAATGTACAGATACACGAAAGCTTTTTCATTTTTGCTCTAGATAGTTGAGAATACGAGTTTATGTAACAGATTTTTTTTTGCCAAATGCTTTTAGACCCGTCAGGAAAGCATGCCCATATAGAAAGAAAGTATTGAATATAAAACAAAATTTCCGGTTACCTTCTGTGTGAGAATTCCTAACGCCTGCGTAGCTAAGCTTCGAAACCCATAGTTCTTGTTCTAGCACAGAATGTGATGCCCAAGTTTATCCAAGGCCATATTTAAATTCTAGAATAAAATGTAATACTCGGAATTAATCGCTAGATGTACTTTCATCAGTGAGCGTTACTTTTATTTCAAAAGCAATTAAATTTGCTACTAATCCTCACATCGAAGCTAATACTGGCGTATAAAAGCCGCCAGGCCTCATATCATAAACTAGGACAAGACTAAGCTGCTGCGAAGAACATCCTTGGTGTCCTTTGACATACACACCCTTCAAGGATCACAGATGTCGAGTCCTCATAGTACCACGTGATCCCCTCTAACAAAGGTCTTTCTCCATTGAAACGACGGGACCTATTAATTGTGTATCATAGAAGGTGCGAGAGGGATTTCATTATGACTAGTCTGGATATTTAGTGAATAGGCGCAATTTCACTGACAAGCGCGCCTATCCGAACAGTAGTACTAGAGTATCAACAACAAAGGCGGTCTGAAAGAGACTGTTATTGTAGGCACTAAAAGGAATAGCACGGGAAAACGGTCGTTCAATGGGTCATATATAATTAGTTGGGTTGTGCTCAAATTAAGAAGTTCACACGTCAGTAAAAAGTACAATATAGCCTAACAGAAGCCGCTCCTTTTCTCAGCGTAAAGAGAAGCCCACTTAGAGCACTGCAACAATAAGTAGAGGCTGATAAGTAAAGTGGGTCATAGCTGTTCAGGTGAGTCGAATGCTCGAAAATCAGCAACACATCTTGTCGTCAGTAGTGGCATTATGACTATGTGGACGATACCAAAACTGATTAATTGTTCCAACCGTAGAGAGTATACAGCCTTTACCCAGGAGTACATCTGTACACGATAGCTTTTTGTCGTATGACAGGCGTCAGCCGCACAAACGCACTCTGTTTGTCCTTTAATTCATATTAAAAATGATTTACCCGAGTCCAAAAAGATATACTTGGTTTCTCGAAACGATCTCTGAAAAATTCCGGGCTTAACTTTAAATATTGGCAGGGGTATGTCGATTACTGGACATAGCAGGCAACGGGATTGTTATAAAATTATAAAGGTCAGCAATTACAAGCCTAAAGCTTGCTACGAAACGGGCATGGGACGTATAGAAGAATATACCAGCGACCCAGCGTACGTCTTTGTCGACTGTTAGTTGTTTCAGTATAAGCCTTGACACGACAAGCCAATAAAGTTTGGCTTCTACTTCAAAACAGTTCTAGATAAGTTACGAAATTAAAAATATTTTGGTTATCAATAACTTAGATCGGATTTCTTGTCTTTTTAGAATACTAATTTAAATGTAACTGTGTAATAATAGTTTAGACAAATATTGGAGCAGAAATAGGTTACGAAATGTCGGAATAGGATGTCGCGGCCTAGAGTTCTGATCATTGAACTCCAAGCGTGCAATATAAATTGATAAAGAAGGAGATGGTTATCTGATGGGATGGTTAGAGCTGACCGTTGTCAACCTTTGACTAATCAAGCTGGGCGCACGATTCTCTTAGCATTAACCCCGTGAAACGAGGATAGATTTAGCATGTCACTGAAACAGGTTATACAGGTGCCTTTAGATTGTATGTCCTGCAATAACCTAATACTAAATATCGCACCATCAAAATAGAGGTTCAGACTCAACTTTTAGAACAAGTCGCTCCTTTAAAGATGAGCAGCTAAGATACTCAATTTAGCTAAGATTTCTATTGAACGCCGCTTAAGGACTGGACGCTGGTAAGTTAACGGACATCTCGATCGGTTGGTCGACCCAGACCGGATTCCGAAAACGCAATTTGTTTTCTTGGGCGTACAGACAGCAACATAACCCATGTCGGCCTTCGTGACACTTATCTGTTGTATATCGCTTTTCAAAACACCGTAGGTTACTAAAAACATTATTCTCTGAATAAGTAAATATATAATTTCCGATGATTTAGATTAGTAGTGATAGACTTTGTAGCTGCGTAAAATTTTTTATGATTTGGCATTTTCGTTGAATATTACCTACTTACTTCAATTTGATCTTTGAGCAAATCTGCCATAGAAGATATAGTGCGATATGTGATGGTAAGGCTAATCATAGGCCGCTTTGGGACTGAACTAAGGCAAAGCATAGAGTGTTAACAAAGATTGTGAACTCAGAAGTTGAGCCATCTGGAACAAACAGATAATTAAGTTCATATGATTTAAAAAAATATAAAACGCATACACAGTCCACGTATCGAGCAAAAGTGACGAGTGGTACTGTCCTTGACCTGTCAAATCTATTTAATCAGTTGGTATATTTCTAATGTAGTACCTAGTGTATAACAGTACGAGTCGAGCCTTTAAAAAATTATTCTATATTATCTAGATTAAAAAATTCAATTTCTATATCATAAAATTTTCAATTTCAATATAATAAAAAAAGGGATGAAATTCCTTCTTTGTTTCGCGGTAATTATTCCGGACATCAGCGTTTACTTGGATGCGCTACTGAAAAAATAAAATTGAATACTTCTAGTCGACCTTTATATTAACGTGAGATACGTGACCGTTTCGGTAACGGGAGCCGGGATGGAGAAAGATATACAATCCGCGGCTCTGCGCCAATATATGGAAGGAGATCCGATTGGACCAATTCAGTTCCAATGACCAAACGATGCAGACAACATCTAGCGGTAGCACCACTCTCGCAAAGTTCGAGATAGTAAAAGCTAAATAGCAGAATGGGTGTCGTGTGGAGTCCGTGGTTAAATTCTAGTATTACATCCGTTGCATGCCGTTGGACATGTTTAAATACTATCGCCGTATCATCTGCCGCCGAAACCAAAAAGGGGAAGATGACGAACAGAACTAATGAAGGTCAAAAAGCTATTTCGACCCCTTGTAATTTTGCTGTGTTAGTTAAGCAAGGGGAGAGCGCAGCCGAAGGAATCTACAAACTCAGAACAGCTGATTTGTATCGAGATGAATCAAACAGTCTGACAAAGAACATACGTAAGCTCACCGCATGTCGCTGAGCACTTATGGTTCTTGAAGATGGAGGCCTTGACTAAGAAAGTGCTTCATTGCCCTACATTTTGGCCTATGAGGATTGAAACGTGCTAGAGGAAGACCGCGGCTTCTGTTTGTGAAGTGTGGCCACACTTACTTAGCGGAGTTACACGGAGGCGCAAAGACATGTGTTACAGCCGCAGAACGTCTAATGAAATGTGCCGATTATATCGTTATATTAATATACAAAAGAGCGAATCAAGCGTACTTAACGCTCATCGCAATGATTTCGGATTCTCAAAAAATACGTCGCTGTTGATTTCGAACCACAATGCGGAAGTCAACTGTGCACGTACGGATACGAGACTATGGGGCATACAAAGCTTAAAAAATAATCCTTCAATAACTAATTTTTAATTATACAAAGTGCTAATATTCTATTACGGCATTTAACTTATACAACAGTATGGGCACCGGTTTAATCACAGGTCGACATTAAGGCTTCATCATAGCTGGCTAATGTCCTGTTACAGGAGAACTGAGTAAATCTGCTAAACACTTACATAGATTACCCATTACTATCGCGCGCTCGGGCATCAACCATCAGAGTATTTTAACCTATTAATTGATAATAAAAAGCGGCGTTTGTTGATATTTACATTTTACAGAGAACCTCGTAAGTACATGGCATAACAATTCATAGGACAAAATGGCGTGGCTCCTTAATAACAATGCCAAGCACCTTTAATTATCAAAATTTAGGCAAAAATCGAAATTCACAAACTAAGTTACCAAGTTCTGCATCGGCCGGACTCAAGTTTATGTATCTGCTGCCATGTAATAAGGTCAATTACATTGTGCAATCTATGTATATATATATATATCAATATATATATATATATATATATATGGATTTAGCAATTTTCTAGATCAAAAGAGCTATAGATACCTAGGTTAGGCATTGTAATCCGAACAGTAAATGTAAAACTGTTGAGGAGCCTAAAGACGTAGGCTCCGATTCACAAATAATACGGGTCGATAACTTTAAATTTTATTAGAAGACGCATCTTAGTAAGCAACAAAAAATGTTAGGTTTGTAGAAAACATTTGTATGGCACAATCTGCAAGGTTTCAAACGCCTACTATGTAATGTCTTAGACTATGTAGAGCCGATATGAAAATATATAACGAATGCGTGTCACATTGACTCGTTCGGCTTTAGTTCACGGTTCGGTGTTACTTATATATCGTATGCTTCACCTGTGACAGAGACTCGGAGCATCATGCTAGCTTCCTCAACAAAACTGAGTCTAAATCGGTCAGTCCTTGTGGAAAGGACAGAGAAAGGGCAGGCCTAGGAAAGGGTACCTGCCCCGAGTCTAGATACCCGATCCTAAAGGCAAAGTGGACAGGCCCGTTTACTGCCTAAGCCTGTATCTTCGAGAACACCCTTGAAGTGCGCGACTGAAGGAACCGACATGTAATTGTGAAATAAAAATGCTATGCCGCATCACAGGATCGCTGCTGAGCCACGGAAAGGATACGTGTACGACGGAAAGAACGTCATAGGCGCGTACACATGAAAGTGAATACCGAAATAGTGACGCCAACAATCAATGCGATCGTGATTAAGGACAAGGGCTAACCCTGAGGAGAATACTGTGTACACTGTGAACAGGGGGCAAAAAATCGCTGATGACGATATGAATGAGAGCCTTGTGAACGTTCAAAAACAACGCTGAGACAAATTGATGTGGCAGGTCAATAGCTGCAAGTGAGATCTTAATTCAGGACTATACATTTTCGTCAGTTAATCATGTAATAAAACCTTAAGCAAATCAGTATTAGACAAAACATGGATAAACAGTTAAGGCAGCATTATCAAGCATGACCTAGGAAGTACTTAACAAATGTGACGATGCTGTCGTGGTAATGGTGCGAAATTCGACCAAAAGTGAGGTTAGCGGTCGTACGGCGCAGATCCTGGTGGAATTATAGGTATCTTCTTTGGCCGTAAATGCCTTCAATTTTTTGTACCTAATTGCTCCATTTGTATCAAAACTAATAATGGTGATCCATATTTGATAAACACTTCATATATACGAATATGCACGATAATAGATCAGAAGGAGACAGATCAAGTCAAAGAAAATGTAGGACTGAAATCGTGCTGCACGACAATATGATTTAATTTTTAAATTCTGATGAGCCTTATGGCAAGTACTGCCTTTTACGATACTAACACCTATCACGTCAGCCTGCGATTGTCCGGTTTTTTTTTCAGCTAACCAATAGCTCTAGCATTTTCATGTAAGCTCAATTAGTGCTTCTGGGATTGTTGATTACGCACCAGACGGTTGGCTACGCACGCTGCCTGGCTATCGAAAATTTTTTTCTATCGCATAAAGTTCTCATATTAAAGAAAGTTGAATTTAGGCAAAAATCGGCGAACCTTGTGTCAAACGTTTGACTAGATAATAACTCGTTGAACCTTCATTAAATTATAGAGATCTTGTCTCTAGGCAAACAAATATTTGCCTACATTTATATATTATTATTTCTTGCAAGTAAACGAACTTAAATATGCAAGATGAGACAACTTGAGAAAATCTCTTGACAATTAAACAGTTTTATTTTGCAGGTGCTAAAGATGTAAGAGATAGCCAAATTACTACAATATACAGCCCATTTATGCAACGTATTTACAACAGGAGCACCCTAATATTATTTTTATATTCCTGTATAACTGACTTTGTGATGGTGCCATAGCGTTAGCACGTCTTCAAAATAGGCATAATATTGACGATTGTGGCCATTCAGGTGACCTTGCCGACTAAGAGCGGAGTCCCCTGTAGTATACGTATATCACAGAGTTATAAGAATATAGAAACGGGATTAAAGCGCTTTTATATAGACGTGTTGCAGAATTAGATATGCAGCTATTGCGGTACGTTTTGTATTTTCCGCTACTTCAACTGTGAGATAATAAGCTTTAGCTGGCTGCTTATCATCTGCTATTCTTGCTAGCAGAAAAAAAGCCAGCTGTCTTTGAGACAAATCAGTAGACTTGTTCGAAATCTGAAGGAAAATCAGCTATTGTTCGACATGCTGGTACGATACGAAGCTTCCTTCCACTGAAACTGTTCAATTGTCTGTCTCTGCCTGAAATCGACGGTCTACGTTATTGTGCGGCTTCTGAAAAAGCCAAGGGCCATTTTCAAGAGACAATGCAGAAAATCTTCGATAAAGGGATAAATAAAGTTCAATAAAGCATTTAAAGGACTCGAAAAAAGCCATTCTTGATAACTAGATCGTTTAAAGGCCGTTTTAAATGCCAATCGGGTCATCCAAATAAGCCTTAGCGGTCAGACGTTTTGTAGCTTCCTGCGCTTATTTATACCTGTTTGTACTTACAGGCCATTTCAAAAGCAAGCAATTTTGGAGCCCTTGGCCTGCTATCAGCCTAAAATGCAATTCTTCAACGCCAATTTTTTTTGTATATAGCGTACTCAAGCATTAGTTTAGCGAGTTTATACCTACCAATATTGTTTGGTAAATGATCACTGTTGAAAAAAGATTATTCACAGATTAAAGAAGAACTTTGAAAGTGGCTGGTGAGTGATTTATCCTGAAATTAAAATGGAATTGCGTAGACTGAATAAGCAAATTGGCATTTAGATGCCCTGCCTTGAATATATATATATATATATATATAGGACAGACACGTGGAACCGCTAATTTAGCGCGAAAAAGTCAGTCATTCAAATGCTCTTCTTTCTTTTTGCGAAGCGATAAGTAGAAATGTGCGCATCGTTCTTCAAATCCAACTTGGTACCACTGAAGCTTCTGTAATTATGCTATACGTCAAAATTTGCCGCTGCAATATTCACAAACTGAAAATTCTATCGAATTTGATATGCCCAACACGTAGCTGATATTATCCTCGACAATACCGTACATCTCACATTTCCTTATGGATGAATAGGTCTATTTTAGTTTTGCAATAAAGGTCATCACTGCGCACCACTTGGTCGGGGCTAGTCGTTCTCAAAACTATCTAATCGACATGAAACGTTACCATTTTTATTACGCCACGAGATTTCTCTTAAATCCTTTGACAAAAAAAAATATACGAGACATTTCTGCGGGACGGCAAACGAGAGTGTAAGGTGTAACTTTATTATCTAGGGTCTGTTTTATTCATCCGTGAAAACGAAATGTTTACGCCTGTTTTAGAGCCCCACTTAATTTAAATAGCAGAAGCCTGTTTAGCAAATGGATGATATGACAGCGATTTACTAGGTGGAAACGAGCAGAGGAAAACATGAAAAGCTAGAAAGATCTTCTTTCGATATTGTGGATCCTCTTTCTAGACATTGACTCCTTGCGCCTTCAGCCTATATCTAGGCGTGGCCATTCAATCGACGCGTGTCTTGTTTGAAAATTATATGGGTATTGAAAACAGTGATCTATAATTGCTTACATGGAGTAAATTCTAGCTGTATATTTCTTTTATTTTGTAGTCTAGGCGTTCGTCCATGCTTGCAGACCCAAGTGCTGCCATCCTGCCCCAATGCGCACTTGTCTACCACTTAGTGCTGCGGAGAAGAACATTGTCTATCACTACGCATAGCTTTCAAATCTGGTCAATCACGACGCCCGTGACTATCAAATGAAGGCCTTCGCATGGAGAGCAACGAAGTGCAGGCAAAAATATTTCGACAATTTAGCTCAATATGATTTTTCCCCACACCTCCGGTTTTCGACTCTCATTATGATCGCAGAAATTCGCACAGTCCGGTAAATGTCTCACTGCAGCTATGCAAAATAACAGACGTCCACTTGAAGCTGAAAAAAAGTTCCTTCCATCTTCCTTTAGCTTGTCAATATGCGTAAAAATATTCGTTATAGTACTTCGATAAGAGATGTTTGCCTTCAGTGTCTTAGGATCAAGGAGAATTTTAAACACGTAGAGCTTGAAACGCTAATATCAGGACAGAGATAATAACTGCGCGTTAAGAAAGTCGTATGCGTAAATCTCAGAGAAACTTGAAAGGGCCTTAAAATCATCGTCTTCGATTGACAAAGTTGCCTGACCAAGCTGCCTATTAAAGTTAACAAGTGTATTGTTACAGTCTGGGAACTGCTTAGAGAACCCCAAAAGCGCGTCTGACTTGAAATAAGTATGTGTGTCGTGAGCATGTGTTTCGAAAGGATTCAAACACTCTTGCGTCAGCTGTATCTAACCGTCTTCGTATTACAGATCATAAGGACGTTGACGGACGTCCTGGTCAAGATAAGAATTCAACAATGCTTCTCATGGTCGTATTTTAATTGAAAAATCACACACGTAAGCATGCACAAAAGGCGCAGCAAATCTTTTGTATCTTTGACCATTTTTTCAACATCGCACCTAGTGTTCGGATGTATTGAAAGAACCGTTAAAAGATCTAAATTTCTAATCGTAATCGTTCCCTAAACATGTTTTTGGGCCATGTCAAAAGCTGGTCGATGCTGGAGAGCTGTATGATTTGAAAGAAATGCCGATGAAGCATTTGAAAGTGTCTGCGACAGGGCATTTCGAACTATCAAAGTGCAAAAAAGTCAGCATCGCACGCAGCGGAGCCTGCCATGTGGGGCAAGAAAGTGACAGCTGTACTCCGAATCCTGATGCCTTTAAATCGTCTCTGAAACCAGAAAGGATCTTTCCGTCTTCGCCTCCGAAGAAGCTCCTTGGATTGCGCCAGTAATACCCTAAACGTAAAAAATATGTAAAACGGCTGCACGAAACCTCCGCAACAAGTGAAAGTCAATGGAAGCTTTCAACCACTACCGCTAACTCTTTGCACGAATCGACCAACAAAAGCGTTCAGGATAAGAATACAACTGATGACGTTTGCTTGCAGGCCAATCACACATAATGTGTCATTGTCCTAAAATATGTAATAGAAGTGCGATGCTGATTTTTTTGCGTTCTCATAGCTTGAAATGCTCTGTCACTTTCAAATGTTTCATCGTCACATCTTCAAAATCACATAGCGGCGTCACCCGGTTTTTATCATTTGCGAGAGCTATTCAGAAGTTTGCTGATACGTTTTAAAAGTGACTACAATTTTACATCTTTTAACGATCTTCTTAACATATCCGAATACTAGATCTGACATTAGGAAGAGTCGCCAACAATGAGGAGACTCATTGCACCTTCTGTACCTGTTCAAGTGTATAGTTTTTTTTTGCCAAAATACGACCAAAAAGAGTTGCTGAGTTCTATTTTAACCGGGATATTCGCCATACACAAGATGTGCAGGGTTAACGACGAGTCGGTGGCACGGAGACGGTGGAACACAGCTGATGCACGAGTGTTTGAATCGTTTCCGAGCTCATACTTACTTCACATGTAAGAAATTATGTTATTTTTGGTCTTTTGAGATTTCCTTAACAATTACGGGTCGTAACAGTACGGCTATTGACTGTAATAGGCAGCCGGGATAAGCAACTTCGGCCATTGAAGGCGATGATCTCAAAACCCTTTCGGATTTTTGGGAGCTTTTTCAAAACGCAATCACACAATTCTTATTGCCCCCAGCTGTGATCAGTTCTGACATGAAGGTCTTGCACCTTACGTGTCTGATGTTCTCTTTGGTTTTGAGGCACTGAAGCCAAACATCTCTTCCGGGAGCACCGTAGTCAATAATGTGACACAGACGAACACATAGCCGGAAGAAAAACTTCTTCATTCTTAGGTGGACGTTTGGGCACTTACCGTTCTACAGGCCTTAAAGTTACACTGTGTTTAGCGCGGCAGAAGGTACAACCCACCGCTTGATTTTCGATGAGTATAGTCTGAGCTGCAAACCGGGGGTATACGGAAAAATTGGTGATTTGAATTGGGTTAAATCGCCGATCTTTACCTGAATTTTCTTATGGTAAAATATTTTCGCGCATACGTGAATTGTTTCACCGGTCCGCATATGAAAATGGTATTTGAGAGTAGTTCG